TTGTCATGCAACCATCACTACCATCCCTCTCCAGAACTTTGTTTTCTTCCCAAACTGAAACTCTGTACCCCATCTAAACAATAACTCCCCATTCCCCTGGCAACCACCAGAAAGTAGAATACTTTCTGTCTTTATGACTATGACGTGGGATCATATAGGTGGAATTATGTAGTACATGTCCTTTTGTGACTGGCTCATTTCACTTTGCATACTGTTCTCAAAATTCATCCATGTGGAGCCATATGTCAGAATCCTCCCCCACCTTTTTTTTCGTAAAGTAGGCTCCATACCCACCATGGAGCCCAATGTGGGGCTTGAACTCACGACTCTGAGATCCAAACCTGGGCTGAGATCAAGAGTTGAATGCTCAACTGACTGAGCCACCCAGACATCCCTGAATCTCCTCCTTTTTTAAAGCTGAGTAATATTCTGTTGTCTATATAGACCACATTTTGTTTATCCATTCATCCAACAATGGACACAGGTGGCTAGGAGGTCGTCTTGCCCAGAGATCTCTGAGGGCTGAATAGTGGGACCACCTCTAGTGCCAATAGCAGCCTGGAGACCCAGGATCCTACCTTGGTTTCCTCCAATTCCCGCCTGCGGTCAACTAGATGGAACCACAGAAATGTCCCCTTTGAAACTTTTTCAGGGGACACCATAGGGATTCTACTGCCAGCACATCACAGAGCCAACCTACCTCAGATCACCTCAGTTCTTCCACTTATAATTTCCATGCCTCCTTGTCCACCACAGGGAATGTTCCTCTGCACCAGCTCTCACCCTCCCCACTGCTCCCTTGGAACGTCTGTCTCTTGTTTTGTAGACAGGCCGGGCAGGGTGCAGACTGGCAGAAAGGCGGAAAGGAATGGAGGCATCTGGGTTTTGGTAGTTAGACTAAGATCTTCCTGGACCTAGAATTCCCACTTTCCATGTGCCTTTCCCCAGTGATTTTGCCCTCAGCAGCTTAAACTAGGTTAGTTGGTCGGAGTTTTATTTTGTGGTCTGGCAGGCCCACTCACTCCTTTATCCACAAGAATTAAATCCGGGCATTTCTTCCCTTGACTCATTTCCCTTCAGTCACAACAACGTTTGGTCCCACCCCTCCCCCCATTGCAGGGATCCTCAGGGACCTCTCAGATCAGAGGCTTCCAGGACCTTCATCCTGGCCTGGCTCTGGCTCCTTCTTTGTTTCTTTGCAAAGAAGGTCCCTGTTGGAAGTGGCCTTCCCCTCACTGGCCACAGGCCCCCTTCAGAGCAAGGGTGAAAAAGAAAGGATGAATGGGGGCAGTGGGAGGACTCTGTGCCCCATTGCTTCTTCTGGGGCTGCTGGGGACAGGCAGCGGAGGGGTGAACAGGGCGAATGGAGGAGGGGATGGGGAGAGAGCAGCAGGGACTGGTCAATAGGATTCCAACAAGAAAACACAGCTCAGAGGGCAGTCTTGCCAATCAGCACAGCCCTTGCCCCCCATTGTGAAGCAACCTGAAAGAGGGCAAGATCTGGGCCTCTGTTCTAATTCGCTGTGCTCTTTGGGGGCCCTTCTCTCACTCAGAGGAGGAAGTTTCAGAAGTTGAGGCCATCAGAAACAAGGACACTTAGTGGTCTCTTCTGATCACAGGGAACTGCTCTGGATTTCCTCTTTCTCAAAATTTGCCAAAGCCCTTATAAATTTCTCTTCTTAATTTCATCCAATTTAAAATTAACCTTTTAAAATACATCTTCTTGAATGCATTCCTCCCCTTCCTTTCCAATGTTAATCCTGTTTCACAATCGCATAAAGCTTGTCCCATCCTTTATTATCTTGGCCAAACCTTGAGATTAGGGGAACCTCTAAGCTCTCAGGACATTATGAAGGAATTCTGAATGAAACAATGAGCAATCAATAGGGAACTTAACCTTTATTCCTGTTGCCTGTCAAACCACCCAGGCCTTTCAATTTTTCAGTCAACTCATCAGTTCAAGATCAGGGGGTTGGTTTTTCTCTGGATGCCCACCAAGATATTGTTTTACTTTAATAATTCAAGGTCTTAAAAAAAAAAAAAAGACCTCTGGGTTCTTCTGATGGGAACACAATTCTACATTTTGGAAAATTGCCAGGTGAGATGATGTGCAGCATTAACACATTTGCATCCCCTGATAAATGGGGAAGCAGGACCAGATGGGGGGCAGAGCATGACTTAGGGCTTCCCTAGCAGTTCCTACAGCTGCATCATGTGCAAACCCTTGGCAACTCAGGGGCATAAGGGGCAAAGGAGTCTATTTCTGTCCTCTGCTCCTGGGAGAGTTTGAGATAGTCTCTGTCCTAGCAGTCTTTATCTTCCTCCACTTTTGGGGGCCTTGCTGGGCCACGGGCTAGGTCAGTGGCAATCTCAAACAAGGCAATAGCTCCATCCCGCTGCACAAAGACAGTGCAAGCATCCGGACAGGCCAAATGGGGTAAGAGGATGACAAAGAAATGAGTCATCCCGCCAGCAGACAAGCAGTGCAGTCCAAAGACAAGGGAGAAGGAGGAGAGGAGGAAAAAAATGTGTCCTTGTTTTCCCTTCATTAAAGAGGTGGGTGTAGAGGTCTGGGGGCAGTGCCCGGAGAAAGAACAAAGTGAATACCAGAAACAGGGACTCAGACTGAGTCCGTGGGGCCAGCCAGTGCCAGGCCAGGCTTCCACGCTGTGAGCCACGGCTGCCACGGAAGGCGGGAGTGCCTTGTGGTTAAGGTGAGGAGGGGGAGGTGAGATGAGAGGAGTAAGTGTAAGAAGTCCTTCAAGGCTCATTTTATAAATGCAAGACAACTTGTTATTTTTTTCTGTGTTCTCTTCCTTTTGCTCTATTTCATAGTTCTCAGAGTTAGAGAACAAAAAAAGCAAGGGAGTAAGAGGGACGAAGGAAGGAAGGGAGGAAGGGAGGAAAGAAGGAAGAAAAAAGAAAAACCATGTTTTTCTTTTGTTTTCTTTTGTTTCACTTTAGTTAGACTGGAATCCCTAAGTCACTGAAAAATATCGCTGTGTGAGAGTGAGGTGGAATGGCCATAAGGCCTGTGGTCCCCAAGGTCCCAGGGCCCCAGGCGTAGCAGGCCCATGCTAGCACACAAAGTTGATTTCTGCAGATTTGCAAAAGGCACCCTCTCTGGTAGTTGGAGTTCAACAGACACAGAGCTTGGCATATTGACAAAGAATCTGTGCAAATTAAAAAAACCAGGACACATGGCCTGGCAAATAAAGCCTGGCCTGGATTTCAAAGATGCATGGGTGGGAATCCTTGTGTGGGATACAGCCTGCACATCCGTGTGCAGAAGCCTTGTCTGCTTCCAGAACATCTCTGACCTTCCTGTCTGGAAGCTGTGTTAGGTCCTGCTGGCTATGGCAATAGAGTGACTCTGTTCCCTGGCTGTTCTGAACAACCTTGAATGATGACTGTTCCAGGGAAAAATGAGAACAATGGACTGGTAACCATGGAGGGGGTTACTCTGCTAGAGGAAGTGTGCCATGTGGCTGAGAAAGCAATGGTAGGCCAGCCAGAAACTCAGTGTTCATTTCTGCAGTGCTAACTTGGGGGGAAGCTGAGTGATGGGCACCCATTCATAGCTGTTGAGTCTGCACTAGGGGAAGCCCCTGGGACAGCAGCATGACACTTGGAGGAAGGACCTGTGGGTGAACTGTTATCCCCAGTGCCTTCACACGTTCCCTCCCCCTTTTTAAAAATGTATTTGTTTGAGAGAGTGCAGCACATGTGCCTGCATGTGCAAGTTGGGGTGGGAGGGAGTGAGGGGGGGAGAGAGAGAACCTCAAGCCTGGACTCAGGGCTCAATCTCACAACCCTGAGATCATGACCTGAGATCATGACCTGAGTTGAAATCAAGAGTCGAACATTTAACTGACTGAGCCCCTCCAGGAGCCCACCATGTCCCTCTGCATTACCCTTTCCCTCTACTATCCTACCTTCTCCATCTTCCCCCCTTAAAAATCTACCCTCTGAAAAGGGACTGACATGCTCATTCACATAAGGTTAGAATGACTGAATAAAAATTGATACATTGCTCTTCTCAAAGCATCTATATTTTGAGACATAAAATCAGTTCCCAGGAATGCAGGACCGAGTGGGCTAGATTCATGAGGTTTACTCCAGGGCTGACACTCTGTGGTTTCTGCTGTTGTGAGAACAAATGATATAATAGGTGTAAACTGTGAAACACTTATAAATGCATATAAGTACTTTGATTTACACACAACCACAGATGTGAAAGTAATCTGCAATAAAAGAACTATACACATATGGTCCCTCAGTCAAGTTCTGTGGTTCTAGGTACAAACCATGCAATTGCCCCAGCTGGTATAGAACTCAAGCACTTGGGATCCCCAGGTGGCTTAGCAGTTTGGAGCCTGCCTTCAGCCCAGGGTGTGATCCTGGAGTCCCGGGATCAGGTCCCACATCGGGCTCCCTGCATGGAGCCTGCTTCTCCCTCTGCCTGTGTCTCTGCCTCTCTCTCTGTGTGACTCTCATGAATAAATAAATAAAATCTTTAAAAAAAAAAAAAAAGAACTAGAGCACTTTAGTTTTTACTCTTGCCAGAAAGAAAAAGGCAGAAATATGAGCAAGCTAGAGGAGGAGGGACATTGCAAGAGAAAGACAAAAGTAAGTTGAGACTATGATCAAATTTTACACCGTGTGCAAGGTTTGCTACCCTAATCTTTGGTAAAGGAGATCCTCCATTTATTATTACTTTGCAAAGCTTCTCTCTGGAAATCTGAGTAAGAGAGAGTCAGTCTCCAAGAATACCAATACTCTAAAGTGACTCATGGCTTTAAAACAAACAACACCCTCCTTCCACCCCTCAACCACCATGGCCCAGAATGGATGCCAACAAATTAGAAAAGAAATGGTCAAAAGAATAACTTCTTGGAAGACCAAAGGCATGTCTCTAGAGTCAGGGCAAGGGAGGGGGTGAGATGGCAGGAGGATCCGGGCGTTAGAAAGGTGGCTGGTGGAACATCCCTCCTGGAGCCATGGCCCAGTTTGTCCATAACCTCGCCGCGAAGGCTCCGGCGCTAGTGAACGCTGCTGTGACTTACTCGAAGTCTGGATTGGCCACATTTTGGCACTATGCCATGGTTGAGCTGGTTCCTCCAACCCCTGCTGAGATCCCTACAGCTACTCAGAGCTTGAAAAAAATAGACAAGAGTGCTCAAACTGGTAGCTTCAAACAGCTCACAGTTAAGGAAGCTCTGCTGAATGGTTTGGTGGCCACCGAGGTGTGGATATGGTTTTATGTCGGCGAGATCATAGGCAAGCGTGGCATCATTGGCTATAATGTTTGAAGACCAATCTTTAACATCTCTTTCTATGTGGCTTATTATTTGAGTGTTCTTGGACCATATGTGATCAGACTGGTATTTGAATAAAATAAGATAATGTATCAAAAAAAAAAAAAGAAAGGTGGCTGGTCCCCACCGAAGCTCACCTTTGCTGGCTCCCAGTGGAGCCAGGACAGGAGCCACTAGCCCCGTAGCCTTGGTCTTGCCTATCCAGGTTCTGCTTTTTCCAAAGGCCATGATCTCAGAATAAAAACCATTTTCAAAAACTTTCATGTAAACAGTTCTTAACTTTTCAATACTTAATTTTCTGTGTGTCAAAATTTAGTTTCTCTCTTCTTTAATCAACTGCTTTTATAACTAGGGGCCAAGTGAAAGAGTCTCTTTCTTATATAAATTGATCCATTCCAATGAGGTGAATAGAATATCTCCCACCCATCTCACTAGTTACTCAGGGCCGAACACTCTCCAAAACAGCTTCAGAATATAGGTGTGTAATTTGTGTCTAAGTTACATGAATTTAACCTGGCTACTCAGAAAAATCTACGCCGAGCAGTGTCATCTACTCCATGTCCACCCTCTGCCAGGTAATCCTGGTTATTTAGAGGAAATAAGGGAGTGTTGGCTGTAGGTCTAAGAAAATAGAAGTCCATCCTGCCTCCTTTCAGAATAAGAACAAAAGAAGCCCTTTCCGAATGAACTTATAACCCTGAGAAAAAAACACAAAGTTCAGCTGGCAAAAACTAACTCAATTAGTCAATGCAATAAAATGTTAACCCCAAAGCCTGAATCTAAACAAACCCTGCAATCTGATGTTAATCTAAAACAGTGTCTCACTTAAGCATAAAGGTAGTTTCTCATGTTCCTCCCACTCCCTAGAGCAAACATCACCGTGAGGCAATTAAATACGAAATACTTTGATAATTCCTCAGTTTACCTCCAGATTACAACACACATGAATCAGAAAACTGATCAGCAGCTCTCACTGTATCATGACTGAATCTGTCCACGTTTTCCTGGGCTCACAGGAAAGCAGTCTTGCAGTGTATTTTTGAGAACTGTCACTCGCTCAATGGGCTTTGAGTACCAGGCCTAGTTTATGAAACCCTTTTACAATCATTGAATCATTTAAGGCAATATTATTACCTTGTTTTTACAGATGAGAGAACTGAACTTCAAAAAAGCATAAGGGCCTTGGCCCTTAGGCAGGACACTTAGTGAGAGGTAGTGTCAGGACTCAAACCTGATGCTCTTTCCACCACTACTTCCTGTGTCTTGATGTGGGACTGCAATGTTTTCAGTGAGCTCAGAGTTGCTATTTGAAAAGGGGAGCACGTCACAGTGCAAGGAGTGTAACCTCTGGAGTCTCAACTTCAAATTCCATGACACACAAGTTATGTGTGGTTTTCTGGATTTTCTAATGGGCCAATCATTCCCACCTTGCTGAATTTTTACAGCAATTAGAGAAGAAGCAGGCAAAAGCCCTACGCAATGGCCAGTGCACAGCAAGGTCAACTGTACTGACTGTCATGAGTGTCCTTCAGCAATGGGAGCACTGAAGTCCACAGCTTCTCCCTGGAAAAATAACCGAAAGCTACCAAGGCAGAAAGATGCTAATCTCTATGGGGTCCCCATTGTGGTCAAGCATTAATAACCAAATACTGTTCCCTAAATCCTGTCGACATTTTGTGATAACCTGCAACCATATTCTTCACAACTGATATAAAAGTTCTCACCTTTTATCTACATGCACAGAACGGTATTAATAGGAGCCATTCTTTCCTGGATATTAGGTCATGTCTTTTATCCTATTTTTTAAAAAAGATTTTATTTATTTGTTCATGAGAGACACACAGAGAGAGGCAGAAACACAGAAAGAGGCAGAAGCAGGATCCCCATGGGGAGCTTGATGTGGGACTTGATCTTAGGACCCCGGGATCATGCCCTGAGCCAAAGGCTGACGCTCAACCACTGGGCCACCAAGGTATCCCTTTTATCCTATTTTTAATCTTTTTTTTTTGTTTTTTAATTTGCCTTTCCTGGACCTACTTATATCAAGGTTACTCTGAACTCTCAGAGGAAACTGGAATTAGCACCCAAGACAGCTGGAAGATCAGACCGTTGTTACTGATAAGACCTGTCTGATGCAGACCACATGGATGTTTAAAAACCAGAGACATTGTGTGAGAAAAATTAGGAAACTGGAGCTTCCCAGAAGAAAAAAAAAAACAAAAACAAAAACAACTTCCCTTTTTCTCTGCAGCCCTGGTGGCAGACACTGGCTCTTTGCTATGGCAAGGCAAAATAAGACAAGTTTCTCTTTTCCATTTACAAAATGTAAATAGCCAGCAGAGATCCAGTAGACTGGTAGTCTTTCTCTTTTAGATTACTCAGTGCAGGTTACTGGGCTTAGCTTCCCTACTGAGTGTCCTGTTCCCTACCTGCAAAGACCTCAGCTGACATCAAGGTGTTCATGCAAAGGTCTCTAACAAAGGGGCTTGAGGGCCTCTTTGAGTGTCCTCCTTGGATGCCACCTATCAGATCCTCCCCGCACCCATCTCTCCCTCAAGCCCCACCTCAATCTAATTTCCTCCTTTCTTGAATTCATGGGTGAAGATTTAACAACTCTACGTATTCAATATCAGACGTTCATTGAGCGCCAACCCTGTACTAGGCACAGGCCCTATGGTATAAAGACAAATATGCTCTATCCTCAAAAACTCATAGTTTAAGAACAGGACAGACAAGTAATTAGGCAATCACAGTACAGTGTAATCAGTGCTGTGGTATGCAGGGAGGTAGGGATAGAAGGTGAAATGCAGCAGAAGAAGGGGTTTAGTAGAATGTGGAGGACGGAGATCTAGCTCCCTCTTGTTGAGGTAAGGTGCTGGTCAAGGTAGGCTTCCTGGAACTGATGTTATATAAGCTGCTTGTTGAACAAAATGAAGAGGTGCTCCTGACAGAGCATATTGCCAAGAGGTGACCATTGCTTGGGGTGCAGGGTGATAGCAGCAAGCAGCCAGAGCCCCTTACTCTTCAGCACAAACACCTTCCATTGGCTAAAGGAATATGATTCACACACCCCAGGCTCTCCCTCCCAGGGCATCTCTAGGAGGAAGTATGGTTTGGAAAGCCCAAGAGTTCCAAGGGATATAAGAGCCTCTGGGGCATGAGTTCAGTTTTGATTCCCTAATGTCTGGTTATAAATTAATGGAATATTTGTGACCATATAATAAACAGAAAAGGCTTTGAATACAAAGATGTCCTCATATCTAGGTTCAGCCTGACCTTGAAGTGGGTTACTTCCAAGGTTCAGGGTGGAATCAGGTTTTATAGATCAGTCCAACCAACCTCTCCAAACCACTGATACATGTTGTCAGGAGGATCACGTAGCCAAACTGGGCCTGCTGGCCGAGAGTCACCCTCAGAATCATGGCTGTTGGCACAGATGGTGTTAGGCAGCTGCTAAAGACACACAACTGTATTAGTTTTATAGGAAGAACAGTTAGTTAGTATTGTCTGGGTAACCATACTAGGCACCAGAACTTGCCCAAGTCATCTCTTTAAAAAACGTTTATGAGGGATGCCTTCAGCTCAGGGCATGATCCCAGTCCAGGGATCAAGTCCCACATGGGGCTCCCTGTGAGGAGCCTGTGTCTCCCTCTGCCCGTGTCTCTGCCTCTTTCTGTGTCTCTCATGTAGAAATGAATAAAATCTTTTAAAAAATGTTTATGAAATGCCTGCTGCACGCCTGCATGTGTTTCCTTTTCCCTTCTGTCATACATGTTATTTTTCAGGTATCAAGAGGCTTGTCTGTTGCTTTACCCTCTTCTCCAAAAATCTGTTTCTCGGGCAGGAGAATGTAACAGAATGCAGGAAAATATGCTATTCTTATATATGGAAGTAGACTACAAGCCAGTATTCGGAGGCCATGTGGCTGAACTTGGGGTTGGACCAGAGCAAATGATCTCTAAGATTCTAATTCTGACTTTCTATGAGTCTAAATTTGTCTTCATTCCTTTATCCGGTTTGATTTGAGACTACCGTGCAGTTTTGTGAGCTGGCTGGCTAAGATGAGGCTTATAGTCTGAAAGTATGGACAGAAATTTTCAGGGCACCTGGGTGGCTCAGTCACTTGAGCATCTGCCTTTGGCTGAGGTCATGATCCTGGGGTCCTAGGATTGAGCCCCGCATTGGGGTCCCTGCTCAATGGGGAGCCTGCTTCTTCCTCTCCTCCCCACTCATTCTCTCTCTCTCTCTCAAATAAATAAAATGTTTAAACAAAAAAACAACAAAAAAAGAATTTTTCCATGCAAAGTAAATAACCAAAAAAATGAATGAATAGAATATTCTGGTCACTCATTGTCCATCCTAGCCATCTTATCAGAGCAGAGCTGAAATTCACTCACAGTAGTAGAAGTTTTATTCTGAGACTGCAGATGCACAATGCCAAATAACCAAGTAAAATTGAACATTTCAACTCAAAACCTAAATCCTTCCTCACCATCAGGCACTCAGTATCTCTGAGAAGTGTATGGACTTTGAATTTCGACTGGAGCTAAGTTCACCACCACTGCTGTGAACAATATTGCCCCCTTGGCTCTCTGATAGAAAATACCTGCCCACATTTTAGAAGCTTCAGAAGTCCTGAAGCCGGTGATGCTCCTTCCAAATGATGATCTTCATCAAAGGGGCCCTTCAGTTGGTATAAAACCCCTAACCAGAAAAGCTGCAACTGCAGATTAGTAACAGGCCTCCCCTGGACAGTAAGTTTCCTCGAATGTTCTGCAGTCCCAGCCAGTCACTTACAAAAACCTTAGATCAGTATGGTCACTGGGTATGGCTGGGTTGCTGGTTACAGTAATTTGAAATGTACTGAGCACGGTTCTGCTCAACATGTTATGACCCAGGGAAATGAAGCCGAGTCCCAGAGCTCCTCCTCAGTGAGCACAAAGCACTGCTGTCCCTCAGCTACTCCCTGGCTGCATGAACTGTGCCAGCGTGTGAGGAAGCCACTGACAGTAGCACAGACACCAGGAGTATCTGATAGGAGGCATCACAAAATAAACTAGGTTGGTCTAAGGGAGTCTGGACAGAGACTGAGCCACTGGGC